GGGGCAGCGGCTCCCTAGCCCCAAATAGCTGACACTTTATGGCCCTGTGTCCTTGTGGCTGTTCCGTCGTTCGCTCGGCCCTACTAAAGTCCGCTCCGATGTGGGTGCGAATATGCGGAATATTGCTTTTTATAGGCAGCTGACGAAATTTCCGTCAAGGCACAAAGGTGCTTAGCTCGTAAGTACAGTAAACACTCGTAGCGAAAGGCTTCAGATTGGAAATGGAGTGGGAATGATATCAAATTAAATTTATTGTCAAATGAGTCATAAATATATATACAAAAATGTAAATGAATAATAAATATATATATATACATAGATGTAAATAAATAAATATATACTATATATACATAAATGTAATATAAATAATAAAGAAAGAAATAAATAAGATAAGGAATAAATTTTTAAAAAAATAACGAAAATAATAATATAAGAAAAAAATATAAAATATAAAAATTACAAATATAATTAATTATATAATAATATGTAAAATCATAAATCATAAACATTAATAAATATATATAATTCATATTTATAAAAAAAATTATTAAGATTGAATATGTTCAGATTAGGGGTGGAATGGGTATGATATGAAATGAAATATATTTAAAATGTTATCATAAATATACATATATAAATTATTTTAATATATAATAAATATGTGTATTTATAAGTATTTATTTATATTCTATTTATAAAAAAATTATTAAGATTGATTTTTTTTGTTTTTTTCTAGATTCATTTATATGTATATATAATATAATTATATAAAGAAATTATTAAAATTGAATTCGTTCTTTTTTCTAGATTTCTTTATATACATTTGTTGTCTGTCTTGATTTATTTAATTAATTTTTTTTTTTTTTAAGTTTATTTAGAAGCACTCAAAGTTTTTAAGTAATTTTTAATCTTACTCAGACAGCATTTATATAAATTTATTTCATTTCATTTCATACCTGCTGCTTTTATTGATATTTGAGTGCTATATTTATTTTCCCACCACGAAGATATCTTCGACAAAAGACTCAGAGAGCAGACATATATTATAAGTATATTTCATTCCATTTCATACCTCTTCCATCTCCATTTGAACTTTGTTTAATTGATATTTGAGTCTTACAGCTATTTCCCACCACTAAAAGCACTTATTAATAAATCAACCACATATATTTAGACATACATATATCCTCCACATTTAGCATATCTAGCATGTCAACTTTTTGCCACGCCGCCAACAACTATTTGGCGCTCTTCAAGTTTTAAGTTTTCAACTTTTTTCTTTCTACAATTTTTCTGCTGTCTCTCGAGTTGCGCTGACACTTGAAGCTGCCAAGTGTAAGAAGTACAGGCAAAAAAAATCAAAGAAATAAAAAGCCCGTCAGTTTTAGTTGCTCCCACTGCCCACTGTGGCCCCAGTGTCAGTCCCAGTCTCAGTCGTGGTGGACGTCAGTCCCGAGTGGCCCTTGTCGCAGATTTTAACAACTTCATTGATGAGTCGCCGAGTCGAGTCGAGTCGCGTCGAGTTGCGTCGAGTCAAGCTCAAAGCCCCAAAAGCGCTTCGTGCCACTTGTAAGCAATTTTAACTGTCAATTTTTAGTTGTTGTTGCTGTTGTTGTGAAATCTGAATATACCATATGAACAAATGCTAAAAAAAAAAAAAAAAACAACAACAATACTGCTGAGGTTGACACCCAAAACGGGCACCAATAACTCAACTCGCTTCGAAATGCCTTTTGGAATCTGTAATGGAAACTAGCTCTGCGGTCTGAGTCAAGCTGCGACCAATGTGACTGCAATCTATTGCTGATTTAGCGAAAAGCAAACAGAAACCGAGACTAAGAGACTGTGAGACTGAGAGACTGAGAGGTTGAGAGTGGAAAAGTCAGTTACAACTCCCACAGCTATGTCAATTGTCCTAAAGTGGCGCCAAGCGATTTGCAGTGCTCGGTCTCCAAGCAAATCCGTCACCAGCTGTGAGAACTGTCCGGCCGTCAGTCACTCACTCACTCATTCACTCACTCACTCAGAGTCAGAGAGACAGAGGAATCCCAGCAAATCAATTTGGTTGAGGCATCGCAGCTTTACATAATTTATATGGCTCGGCCTATGGGCCACAAATAATTTTCGCAATTGGCTAGCCTAAGGGCCGTAGTCCAGGGCGGCAGAGAACACACAAAACATTTTCAACAGTGGGTGGAGCTGTGAATATTGGCCATAAAATTTATGCCCTGAGATAATAACACAAGCGGCAAGTCGTTATGGCCTGCCAGGCAGCCAAACAGCCCAACAGCCAGGCAGCCAGGCAAAAGCAACCAGTCAGAATGGCCAACAAGCCATCCCAGTTAGCCAGGCGAATCGTCCGCTAAGGAGGATGGCTAAAAATAAAATTATGGCCCGGCAAACCCGTCTCGAGATGCAAAGGCAGCGATAGAAGGCTAAGGTTGAAGTTGATGCTTTGAATGCTTTGCTCGTGCGGCTCGGCGGTGCTCGTGCTGCTGGCCCAGGTGGTGACTGCAGCAGCAGCAGACCCAAACCACTTCGCCAATTATGGGCTCCTCTTCTGTTTCTCTCAACTCGATCTGCTGCCAAGCCCCGTTTAAGCCAACTGAGTACGGGGTATATTGCAGAAGCTGGCAATAAAAAGTCCACTTATATATGTCTTATGTGGGGACTACGACGAAATTTTATTGCTAAACAGCAAAAGAGATGGACCTAAGACGGGCATTATTCATTGTTGTTATTATTACTGCTAGAATAAGTACATTATGTATATTACTTTTATTATAATTATAATTATTATTATTATTTTTATTATTATTATTATTGTATTAGTATTAATTTTATTATTATTTGCAACACAATATATTTCTAATTTTTTTAACGCTTATTATTATTGTCCATAGAGCTACTATTAACCTATTATTGTTTATTATAATATCTTTTTATTATTATTGTCTTTATCAATATTGTTTATATATTGTTTCTTATTCTGCTCATTCTTAATAATTTATTTTTATTTTTATTTATTTTATTTTTTCTCACCTCAGCCACACCAAAAAAAAAATTATCATTGACATTATCATTAACATACTTTATTTCCATCAGTCATTTTAATAAAATTCTAAAAAAAAAAGTCTATATTATTTTTATTCACCATTTTATTGTCATTGTAAAAATTAATATTCAATTTTAAAAAACGTATTAATAGTATTATAATTATTTTTATTATTATCGGGTTCATTTGCAAATTTTTGTATATCCCGTTTAGCACATTAAATATTTATATACCCTAAACTTTTTTCATAAACATTGTAATTTTCCGGTTTTTGGTTGTATATATATTATTATGATTATTATATTTTTATTTAATAATTTATTTTTAGTTTCATTATTTTCCCACATTCCCAATTCAGTTTACGTATAGCTATATATATAGCACTTGGCTTACCAACACCCGCATTCTCGTGCTCAGTTTCATCAGAGTCAACTCCTTTCATACGTTTCTCCTCCCAAACGATTTTCTCATTTCAACTCCTGCTCAAGGCCTTTACAGCGCATCTCCAAAGTCTATCAAAGCTGTGTGTTGCAGTTGTAGCCTTTTGTTGCAGGTCTGTTGCAACAACATTTGGTTGCCAACATTGCCGTGTATCAACAACATTTAGGCTGTGGTCGCCTCTTGTTGCATGCACGTTTCTGCACCCCTTTGCTGCTGCTACTCCTGCTACTGCTACTGCTGTTGTTACTGCTATTGCTGGTTCTTCTTCTTCTTCGGCTTGGCCTTGTTTGTGTGTTTGGCTTTGGCATCGTTTGCAAATATGTTCAGTTTGTGTTGAAATCGAAATAGACGGTAGCTGAAGCGAAGCCTCTTGCCAACACACACACACACATACACACATACATACACCGACAACAACTGAGAGATACACGAATTCACATCCTTTGCTGCTTAGTTGTCCGTTGCCCCATTCAATGTTAGCTGTTGTCTTGGTATCTGCTTTTTGCCTGCAGCTCATTTGGCTCTTGTGTTGATGTTGGCCAACAGCGAGCCACAAGCTCATCCTCAGCATCATCAACGTCATCATCAACATGATCATCATTGTCATCGTCATCAGAGCTGTACCCCAGTCATTGGCCAGCTGAGAGCTGTTTAGGCATCTCATCAACAGTTAACCCCACTCCCCCTCCCCCTCCCCCACTGGTTTTGACTGCAGACTGTTTGGCATGCTAATATGCAAACAGTGCTGCCAACTTAATGAAATTGAAATGAGCAAATTAGAAATGTTTGCCAGCGCTCTGCAGACCCAACTCCCCCTAAGCATTAGCAGTTCAACTAAGGGTATTAGAAGTCAGCTTATGTTACCTTCTCTGCTCTGCATACAATGTCAAAGGGAATCAGTTTAGGTAGAGAGTCATATGTAGTAGTAGTATATATAGAGTGCAGAGCCCCTAAATACCAAAGAATGACGTAAGATGCACCTTATATTATACATAGAATAAATATATTTAAGTCTTCTTTATGCGGCTTTAATACTAGCTGATAAAAACTGAATTTTGTTGCAGTTCTATTTATACATATATAGATATTTCAGATATGTACGATATATAAATATTTGTATGTATATAGAGATTTTAGATATATACTTACATATGGTAGCTGTTTGTTGTAGATATCAAGGTCTATATTATCTTAAGCCTAAGACTGAATAAGTTTACTCGCCAATGCACCTTTGAAACGAAATATATTCTTACATATTTTGAGATATCTATATATATATATAAGTATACTATATATGTACCTATATGATCAAGCTGATGAATTGGATCTGTCTAACTGGGACGTGTCAGAAACTCTGTCTTCAATATGATTCCTTTAGAGTTATGAATATTATGAAGCTGTAGGCATAATAATTATAATTATCTAAATAAATATAGCACTCATAACAATGAACTACGAAATGATTATAGTAATGATGACCAACAATATTTCTTTTTTCTTTCAGTGTTGTGCATAAACCACTTTTACTAAGAAATGGAAATTACCAATTAAATTTATTGGGTGAGTATAATAATAATATATATATTATTTATATATAAAATAAAAACCAAAAATCCATTAAAATAAAAAACCCATCTATATAACTAACTGCCCCATGGTTAACTCCCAGGAGGTCTGCAGCCTTCAGCTAGTATAAATGAATAGACAAGCATTCATCAAGTCGCCTCGATGAAGAACGAAAAATTCAAAGCGACAGTTAAACTAATAGTCACAAAAAAATAAAAAATAAACGAGAAAAGAAAAAGCATTTCAAAACGTAATCCATTGAAACTAGCGTTATCCTCAATGCTTAGCAGAGCCAAGCAGACAGTCAACCAGGCCAAGTCCCATAAATCTCGGCCCAAACCTTGTATTTGGTCAAACTCTGGCCAGCTGCTGCTGCTGCTGCTGCTGCTGCTGCAATGTGAACTAAAAACTAGTCTAGCCATTGCAGGGACCAATAAAAATGCTTCTGCCATACAAACAGAAGAAAGACAGAGCTGGAAAAAAACATACACACACACATACAGATTGAAAATAAAACTAAAAGAAGAAAAATAACTGAATTGAAGAAGAAAAGCCACATGTCATGGAGTCTACACTTGAAAAGCACTAGACGCACCCAACTACTCCCAACCTGAGCTGAGTTCTCTCTGATAGATACAAACGACTTCATGACGATACAAAAGAATGATGATGATTTGCAAAAAACAACAAGTAGGAGTGTGGTAATGGGGAGTGGCTAACTGAAAGATACCCTAACTAGCTGAGAGAAATAAATGAATATGTAAAAAGAAAGAAAGTAAACTTATGTCTAGAATGGGGCATATATAAATAATATTTAATTGAGCATGTATCCAAAATTAGAATTAGGTATCCAAGAAAGGAAATTATTATTATCTGTGAGTACTTTAGAGAAATATTTAAGCCAAGTTTGTTGACTCTAGCGTCTAAAGTATTCGAGAGATGCTCAAATAACTAAATGATACTGCAGGATTCTGAATGGCATGCTAAGAGAATATGATATATTAAGATTTTATTTGAAATCATATAATATTTATATAATGACATAATGTTATTTCAAATGAAGTTTACCTTATAAAAAAATATTTAAAAATATTTAACTCTTAAATGATATTGAGAAAGACGAACGAACCTAAAGGCAGCATTTGACTGACTTTTCCATTCTGATATATATAAAATAAAGACAGATATAATTTCCCTCACTTCCCTTTTATTAGCTGATACAAACATTGCAAGAAAAACAATATACCCCACACACAATGACTCTAGGGTATCAGGGCTAGATAACGTCTGTTTGGCTGTACGCTCTGGGCCCGTCCAGGCGGTCCGGCATTGAATTGGCTGTGCAAACGTTTGATAAATTGATGAATTGCAATGCTCAAGTGGCAACAGTTTAGCGAAGCAGCGATCGATAATGCGACGAAGAAGAGGAATGCGATTGCCAAATAGAGGAGCAGGAGTTGCAGCAGCAGCAGCAGACTTGTGCATCAGAAGGGGGGAGGCTTTGGGGCAGCAGTTGCAGCTGGAGTGGAGGCACAACTCATTAGTTCATCAGACGCAGTCGAAGTCGAAGTTGAGTTTGTGTGTTGTGTTTACTTAAGTTTAGCATAAAAAATGAAACAGTCATGGAGCGTGAGTTAAGGGAATACACATACACACACACATACACACACATATATATATATAGACATACATATGTACATATTGTTTTTTCTCTTTATGCTCGTTTACCGGGAAGAGCTCATAAAAATTTATGTTAATTTCGTTTAGAGCTGCTGCTGCTGCTGTTGCTGCTGCTGCAACTGCATACGTAATGAGAGAGGCAGGGGCTGAGTAAACAAGGACTGCGCCTAGGCCTAATAGACGTAGTTCCAAATTGAAATAATGATTAACAGGCTAGAGTCGAAGTTGGGGGGTGAGCGGGTCTATGGGCAACTTGATCCACCTACACGTTAAATCATTTCTAGAGAGAGAGAGAGATTCGTGCACTTCATGCAACAATTGAAAAGTTCGACGAAAAATGCCGTTGTGAAAAATGCAGCGTAAACATAAAAGATAAACACAGAACACAAAGAAGAAGAAAACTGAACACTCAAGTGAGACTGAGCAGCAGCAGCAGCAGGAGAAGGAGGAGCAACAGCAGCAGCAGCAGCAGCAGCAACGTGAGCTACACAAATTAAGTGCAAGCAGAGACGCTGCAACGCGTCGTATGAGCAATTTGTTTATTTATTTGTATTTATTTTCCAGTCAATATAAACTATGTGAATTTTTAGTGTACATAAAAAAGAATGAAGAGAAGCGAGCATTCGACATTCGACATGATAATAATAACAACAATGAACAACAACATGAGCAACATGAACGTCAACCGTGCAACGGGGCAAGTAAATAAATCAAATGTGGAGTTTCCACGGAAAATGGGGGGAAACGAGCAAATGGAAAATGGAAGTCAAGACGTGAACTTTAAAATAAACAAATGAGAAATGAGAAGTTTTTCTGATTGAATTGAAGAGCGCCGAAATTTGTTTAAAGTTTCGCCCGTAACTGTATTTACCTTTTGGAGCCGTAAAGTTTGCGCTTTTTGTCAAAGTCAATTGCCAGCCCCGAAAAAGCGAGCAGCAGGAGCAGGAGCAGGAGCCGGAGCAGCGGCAGCAGCAGCAGCTCATCAACACCTTTTGGCCAGGTGTCGGTGGGCGATAGTCGTTCGCGTGGCAAATACGCAAAGCCCGTTGCACACTAAATCCACTTAAATTAATTGCAAAAGGTGATTACGTTGCTGTTTTGCCTGCACCGGATACTGGCGGCAGACAGCTGAGAAATGAAGCCAGGACCGAACAGGACGCAGAACGAACGACAAGCCAGCAGGATATGCCAGCAAACCAACCCATTAGCCACCAGTCAACAGCCACCCACGCTCGGGTTATCAAGAAGCTGCATGCTGAACGCCATTTCTCAAATGCCAGCAGGCAAAGGCAAACAGCAAACACTTGGCTTGGCTCTGGCGATGACTGCAAAGCTGCAGCGCCAGTTGCACAAGGTAGGCAAATGCTGTGACTTGGTCCTGGCTCCTCTTGGCTCCTGCCTGCTGCCTGCTGGCTGCTGTTTGCTGGCTGGCTGGCTCCTGCCCAGTGTTTGCGCATCTCTTAAAAGATTGGGTGTGGGTGGGACTGGGGTTGGCGCAACTGTCGCTACATTTTTGCAAAGTAATTTGCAAAAGATGCCAAGACAAGGCGCTGAAGAGGGCGGCGCGAGCTAAAAGCAAGTGCCGCCAAAATGCAGTCAAGGATGAAACAGCAAAGGAGCTGCAGACGTGGCAAGGTGTTAACGTGGCGCTGTCAGTGCTTGATTGCGTTTATGCGTAGCAAAGTTATCTGAATAAGGGCTAAAGTGGCAGTAAATCCGATGGAAATGCACAAACAACAGTTAAGTTGAACAAAATAGAAATAAATCTGTTTATGTTTTAATAAATTTGAAATTATTGCGACATAAACAAGCAAAATCCACAAAAAGTATTTAATGCCTATAAATATTTACAAAATATGCAAAGCATCGCGTATATATTCAGTATTTTTTAGCGACAATATGCCAATTGGCCAGCTTTGAGTCGTTTGCGTTTTGGTATTAATTACTAAATATATCGATAACTTTCAAAATGACCTCAATTTTCGAAATAAAAGCAATTGACATTTGCATTAGATTTTAATGTAGCTTGTAGAATTTTGATAATATAACAACTTGAAGAAAATGCACATTGACCTCTTTACAAGTCATTTAAGTTTAATAATGCAAAGTTTCCGTTATCTTTACTCAACTCTTGTGGAATTTGCAATTTGAACATTTTGCCACGCATAAACACAAATGCTGTTTCTATCCCACCCACACGACTTTTTACTTGTGCATTTGTGTGTGTGTGTGTGCTTAAAATGTCATTAAAGCGCTGAATGGGCGTGAGCATTGAAAGCAAACGACTCTAACAGGAGCTGGCTGTGAGTGAGTGGGAGCGAGAGGTAGCGATGGCAAACTGTAGCGACAGCTCATAAAGACAGCAAACGCGGCGGACAGCGGATTGGGCGGCGTCGGAGCAGATAAAAGAGACTCAAACAAGATTCAAAGACAGCCCAGCCGCATCATATCCTTAATCAGCGCCTCTCAGCTCACAGCAAAGCTTTCCCTGGGCGCGCTTTATGTGTGTCTGTGTGTGGTTGAGTGTGCGGGAAAGGGAGAGCGGTGTAGCTTCCGTTAAATTTATTGATAATTGATTATTGCTTCGTTAGGTCGCATTTGAGGCGGCGTTTGGCGAATTGGCTTCGCGCTGTTGTTGTTGTTGCTGCTGCTGGTGCTGCTGCTGCTATCAGCGTTGTTTGTTGCGTGTTTGTTGTTGCAAATTGAAAATGCAAATTGCTCGGCTGATTTGGCGGCTCCCGATTGCATTGAGTTGGCGCCTCGACGCACGGCATTTGGCTTGGCTTTTGATGTGTGCGACGCTTTGGGGAAAAACAAATTTTCATAAATTTTTAAAACAAACAGGAGCAACAAAAACAAGCACAAAAAAAATAAATAAAAACAAAAATCAACAGCACAAAAAAAAAATACAAACAAAAAGCGAGAAGAAGCAGAAGAGCTGCTGTCGGATTTTTGTACGCCATTTTGTTGCCGCACTCGAGTTGTTGTTGTTGTTTGTTGTTTGTTGTTGTTGTTAGGACGTGCCTATGCGCGCTGCTTTGCTCACCTTTTGAGCTTTTAAATTATTTTCCAAGCACGTAGCCTCGTCGGCTGTTTGCGTATTTAAACGTGCACGGGTATGTGAAGCGCATAGAGAGGCGCTCATCACTAGAGAGTGAGGGAGATAAAAGCATTGGTCGGTGTGAAAAGCGCGTAGAGCGGCAACTGCTTTGCCTTTAAAAGGATTTGCGCAATTTGCATGCTATTGGGGGGAGAGGAAGATTTTCTTCCTTTTCATACACATTTTTTTTGTATTTTTTTGTATTTTCTTGTGAAGGGTTCGGGATGTTTGCTGTGCCGCCTGCTGCTTTCGTTGTGTTGACAAACAAACAGAGCCGCTGAGTGACGGCCAAGACAGACAGCCCAGCCAGTGGGTAGCTGGATTTGCAAGGACAGTTGTTGTTGGCGTCGACAGCGGCTCTCTCTCTCTCTCTCCCTCCCTCCCTCTGCCTTTCATTGTGTGAGTGTGTCTGTGTTGACAATGTCCTTGCTGGCATTGTGGAGCACCGCGCGCCGTACGTGACTTGCATTTATTTTTTGCGGGCTCAAACTGCGAAAAACTCGTTAGTAATTTAGCAGACAGTGGGAAAACAGTGAACCAGGTTGGCCAAACTCCATGTTTTCAAAGCAATCAAACGCTCGTCTATATTCATATGAAGCGCCCCAAATGCAGCTAACTAAAAATACTAAACGAAAGCCCAGAACTGAGAAGCCAGAACCCAGAACCCAGAACCGTGAACCGAAAACCGAAAACCCAGAACCTAAACCAAAACTAAACAAAAGCAACACACACACACACACATACACACACAAAACTACAAACTGCAAATAATTCCATCAACACCACAAACTAAAAACGAGAGCAGAAAACGGCAATGCGAGCGATTGATAGCCACTTGAGTTGCACACATAAAGCTGCTCTCACTCTCCCTCTCTGTCACCCTACCTCTCCCCTTCTCTCTCTCTCTGTCTGTTTGTGTTGCATTCAGTCTTTAGTGTAACCCATTGACATTGCTGAGCGCATTGGGAGGGCTTTCGCACAGTGGGGCACAAACAGCAGCAAACAGACAAACAGAGTGCGAGATTCAAGAGCAATTCCGAGTGCCTACACCCAAAAAAAAATACAGTATATGAGCAGGAGCAGCGCAGCAGCAGCAGCAGCAGTAGCAGCAGGAGCCGCAGCCGTCGAAAGAGTTATTGAAAATGTTTTATTGTGTGCATTTGATTGCTGTAAGTGTTTAGCTCCCACTGTGTGGGTGTCTGCATATGTGTATGTGTGTGTGTGTGTGTGTTTGTCTGGTGTCTAACTTATAAATATTTCAATAACATTTGAATTGCGCCTGGCTGGGGGCTCAATTGGTTTTGGGATTTTGGACCGAACGCAAATGGAAATGCACTTTCCATTGTGTGCGAGTGTCTAGTGCTTGGCCACTCCAAAAAGAACTCCCCGGCAATGGCCACATTACCGTACGGCTATAGCCATGGCACTTGCCATATTTGGACTATGCAGAGGCAGGCGGGCAACAACAGCAGCAGCAGCAAATCAAACCGATCTAAAGCCTAAAATCCAAATGTGAAGCGATTCGTTGTTAGTTTATGCGGGGCAGTTGAACGTGATAAGTGCGAAATGGTGGGGAGAGTGAGAGAGTGAGAAAAGCAGACAAAAAGTGATAGAGTATGACAGAGATAGACAGAGATGGAGAATGAATGAAAGTAAGGTTAAGAAAGAGAGCTTGAGTATGATAGAGATAGAGATCTACTGAGGGAGAAAGGAAATAGAACAAATGGCACAGAGAGAGAGAGAGAACTAGAGAGGGAGAGAGTGAGAGAGATTGAGACAGGTGGAGCGAAAAACAAATAACAAACAGGGCAAATTATCAAGATCATAATGATCTATAAGAAACACTTTAAATAAATCAGAGAAAAAGTTTCTTATATTTTTGTTTTATAAAAAAATTTCAAGCATTTTAAAAAGCTTTTGTTAGAGAAAAATGTATGGAACTCTATTTTAATTTAATTGGAATTTATGGAATAAATAATTTAGAATATTTATTAAACCGAAAAGCAGGAAAAACATTTCACACAAATAGGAATTTAAATTTTTAATAGCTCTGCTGAGTTCCATTTATTGATGTAGAATTTAGAAAATATTTTTATATTCAAATTTGAAATTCTGTGAGCTGCAGCTGTTCATATATCATGAATTTAGGCACGTATAAACATAGAATTGTTCAACATAGCTCGATATGCTTTTTCTCTTCGTGTGTGTAGTGCATAACACTTTGGCACGTTCTATGAGGGCATACTGTGTGTGTGTGTGTGTGAGTGTGTACATTTGTGTATGTGTATGTGTGTATTTTAAAACTTTCCATCGACTAGCCAAAGAGCTTTGGCAACATCTTGTGATGCAATCGCTGCGGCATGGCTCAGTGAAGCCTGTGGCATGGCCTACTTTGCAGAGAGGCACAAAAGCTTAACTCAATTACCAACGGCAGTTGCCACACGTGACTAACCAAACTGAGTGGCGGCGATGGTGGCAGGTTGGCTGGATCAGGTGGGAGTTCGCAATCGTGCGATTGGGGGCTGGGCGGGGCAGCATCACAGCTGAGTCGAGCTGACCTGCTTAGCTGGCCAGGCGAGTTGCCAATGAGCAGGCGGCATTCGAGCTGCCTTCAAGCGGGTCAAAGGACACTCACACACACACACACACACACACAGACACACAAATCCCTTTTTCTGAAAACTCATTAGCACAAATTTGTGCTCGGACCAAGTCGATGTCTACCTTGGCACGCCCCAGCAACTGTGCCGCCTAATTTGGGGCGCAGACGAAAATTTATGCTGATTGTGCGGCAATTTACGAAAACTCAAAGCCAAAACTGGAAAATTGCAGCCGCCTCACGTACCAGACAACTAGCTAGCAAAAGGCTATGCCAGAACCGAGAACAGCACCAAGAAGACTGAAGCTAGACAACAAACTTGTCCATGCCATAAATATAAGGCACTCAGCCTTGAAATAATGAAAGACTTTAACCTTTTTTTCCCGCATCTGTTGTGATATTTTTCCTTCTTTTTTGGCTAGGAGTATAACTTTTAAGACTCTGAATAGAAATGTAAATGAAGAAGTATAGATTTTTAATCAGTATCAGCAGATGAATTTATTCAGACCTATGTAGTCTGGTGTCGCTCTCTCTATCTCGCTCCCCCTTACTATTTCAAAGTTAGTTTTTCAATTTTAAGTATATTTTTAAGATCATACTCAAATATATTTACCTCTTTTCTAGTATTAGAGCTCTTTATAGTTGCGAGAACATACTATGCCTTATATATTAATCTTTATAAAAACAAGCTTTTAGATATTAAATTAGATATCTAACAGACATTGGCATTCTCTATCAGGTTCAGGATTTCATGGATGACATCAAATAAGAGTATTCCAATTAGCATATATCTAATTAGAGCTCTTATCATATACATAGCTCCATTGTAAGCCTATTGACAAGCTGGAAACTCTTTTAAGACTTCTGCCTCTACTCTCATACCTCCAAAAACTCTCCTCAAGTCAAATGACTTGATCAGAGACCCTTCTTTACTAACGACACTGTAAACTCTCTCATTTTAAATTCTCATTTTCTGAAAGAGCATTTAGGTTCGCTTTAGTCCCATTCATTTCCATTTTTCTATTCTTTTTTCTAATATTTCTATTTTCTTGTTTCTTTTCCCCTTGCAGCGCTTGACTTTTGTCTGGTTTATTGAGTGAAGCTACCGAATAACGGTAAGTAACCTTTTCTTAACCTTTTGCAATACAGTCTATGCAAAGCAGTTTCAGCTAAGTGGGCAATTGTATAACCATATATATGTATATTTGTGTGTATGTGTGTGTGTGTGTATTTCGACAAAGTCGCTTGGTTTCCGTTTCCGGCGTTGGCTTTGGCTTTCGCTTTTTCATTTCCGCCTAATAAACTACATAATTAAACTGGCAGCAATGGGATTAAAGGATTCCTACTGCCTGCTGCTGCTTCTCCTTCTCGCATTCCGGCTCCTGCTCCGGCTCCTGCTCCGGCTCCAAGTCATGTGGTATGGCTGAATCTTTCGAGCTACTCAACTTCAGCTTGGCCGTGGGATATATATTTTTTGTTCGTTCGTGCTGGAAGACTCACTCCATTAGGTTGGCACATGACCCCCAGCCTCTGCCACGCCTTCTAGGCATGCTCCAAGTAAAGTTTCGTCGGCGAATTAAGCTAAATTAATTTTTGTGCTTTGCTGTTGTTTTCCTCATTGTTGTTGTTGCTTTAGCTAGTTAAGTCCTTTGACTTTTGCCTCGTTTGATACATCTCGCCTTCCTCATTCTCTCTCGCTCACTCCATCTTTTCTATTTCCCCTTCCACCTCTTCATATTAAATTAATGATGTGTTTTATGCTGTTGTTGTTGCTTTGTCGAAAGAGAAAAAATCACTGCAAATGCGATTTAGAAGGCAAAGCGCAACATTAGCAGTAAATAAAATAGGATAATGCGGCAAGTCGACCGCAAAGCCAAAATCCCAAAATATGTATAAAACGAAAGAATTACAAAAAATATACGAATAAATAATAGAAGTAAAACCGGAGCGGAACTGCAACAACGACAGCCAAATGCGCTGCACAAAAATATAAAATAAAATAAAATGAAATTCAGTTCGAAATAGTAAAATATATATATTTATAATAATATAATACATGTGAAACTTAAATATACATATTTACACATATTAATATAACATAATTTAGTTCATTAATTATATTCAATAAAATGAAATTAAAAATTAATTTGATAAATTAAAAAATTGCCGAAAATTCGAAATTGAAAATATAGAAATATAAATATAATATAAATATCAATATAAAAATTATTTGATATATATTAAATAAATAAAAATAATATTAATAGTAAAATATTTGAAAAAATGTAAATTCAGCTTAATTACATTTTTTTAAACCAACAAATAAAGTACAGATAAAATATAAAATAAATTTAATACAGAAAAAAAATTGATGCAAAAAAAAGTAAAACATTTAATAATATAAAAAAAAACAACCAACAAAATTAAATAAATAAATATTTATAATATAAAAAAAAATAAAAAATAATATATTGTAATAAAAGTAAAGTCTTAGTCAGCTTTTAAAACAAAATATTTTAGATCATGCAAAAAATCGTGTGCCAAAAAAAAAATAAATAAATAAAAATTAAATTAAACTAAATTACGTAGAACTTATTTAAAAAATCATTTATATTAAAACTTAATATTTTTTTATTATTACTAAATAAGGCTTTGGCCGCCAATAAAATGGTTACCCTAATTTGGGAGATATTTGCCAAATGAAATAATTTATAGATGTATTAAAAATAAATATATTAATATAAATTAGTTATAGTCTATTTAATATTCGTTCTGCCCCTTCGATAGGGCATTTGGCAAGACCAGTTCCCTAATTCTTTTTTTGGCACTGGAACAGCTGCAGCAGAAATATTTTGTGGTAGGGTTGAGAGCATAAAGGACAATTGCTGATCCTGCTGCTCGTGCTGCCCCTGCTGCCCCTGCTGCCCCTGCTGCCCCTGCTGCTCCTGCTGCTGCTGTTGCTATGACAGTTGAAAGGATTAAGCGCTCCTAATGCCAAGGCGCTCGTTTTCTGCCCGTCCACTGCTAAGCCTGGCAATTTTTCATGCTAACCCCATGGCCGAGAGAACCCTCCGAGCCCGCTCGCAGTCGAATCACCTGGCTTAGGCGTAACTCAAAGCTCGAACAGGCTGCAACACGCACAGACTTAATATAAAGCCGCTACACCTAAATGCAAACAAATAATAATTTCTGTTTCTGTTTACATTGTTGTTGTTGTTGTGTCTTTGTAAACAATTTGTTGGAATTGCTCTTGAGAAGAAATCAAAGCAAAAACAAGATTTGTGTGCTTCAAGTCAACTGTCGATGCTTCGACGTCGACGTCGACGTCGTCGTCGTCGTCTGGTCGCCGTCTCCTTCCGACTTACACAAATGTTTTGACAAAACGCCTGCTGTTTCCACATAAATATTTATATACATATGCGTTGTACAACTGCCACACACACACATAAGGATACACACACACACTCACACACACACACATGCAGACTGTCTGCTTGGCCTGTTTATCGCGGGCCTGGCATCTTTACCTGCAGCGAACATGATATGTGAACCAGGCACCAGCATCTCTTGTTGCTATATCTTTAGCATCTACTCCTCGACATATACACACACCAACACACGCACACACACACGCACACGGACACACACACTGGGTGTCATGCGTATACAAATTTGTTGTTGCCTCCTTGGAAATCGAATCCACAAAAATGCAGTTAAATAAATTACAAACGCTCTGTCACCCAACAGTTGAGCGGTTTGGGTTCAGGCCGTGCCTTGAGGTTGGGGCGCATGTTGCGGGATTATCGCCCGTCGGGCATCGCCTGGCCAAGGAGTGACAGAGAGAGAGAGAGAGAGAGAGGGAGAGGCAGGAGCTGAGCCAATGATTACGTTGATTATTCCTATACGAATTTTTCTCTTATTTTTAATGAATTTTGTCGCGTTTGTCGTCTGGCCCTTCCCCCCTTCAGTCCAGTGGAGCTGCATTCTGTTCTGTGTCGCCCCTTTATCTGACTTTTGCGTGCTAATGAAATAAATGCCTGGACAGCCAGCTCAAGTTACCCAAACATGAGCAATATGTGACACAGACAGAGTGTCCCAGTCTCTCTCTCTCTCTCTCTCTCTCGCTCACTCTGTCCATCTCTTTCAGACTGTCTGTGACAGTGGCTACAAGAGATATAAAATCAAGATACAGCCGCAGCAGAGAGGAGAGTAAAAAACTGTATCTTAAGTTATGAGACATGCGAGGCACATAAATTCCTCAACGTGTGTGGGTTCAAATGGATGGCATAACACACACTATAAACCACTCACACACACACACATAGCGACAGAGAGTGAAGTGTTCTGTTGAAGGAGTTTTACTAGTTGCATATTTAAACTAAGAAAATTTGTTTAATAATATGCTTATGATCATGGGAAATAGGATATGGGGTATGCTGCTTGAGAGCTGGCGATGTGGAAGGCAGGAGAAAGAGATCATTTTGAAGAAATAGAGTAATGCCTACTATTTTGGATTTGATTTAATCAAGAAATGGCATACTAGAATACAATATAATATTAGTATTAGTATAGTATAGTATTAGTATTAGTATGATATATGGAATGGAATACATGAATAGCTGTAGGGCAGCTGAGCATAATATTTTATATATAATCTCTAGTCTGGAAATTTAATATTATTCATATTTTTTCGCACTAAGTTCTGTGAATATTTATTTTATATTTTATATATAATTTATTGCTTGTCTCTTTGTCCCCCGCATAAGATCTAATTCTCTTTCACGAACTGCCCAAATTTCTTATAAATGATTTATTTTATGATTACAATTTTTTGCACTCTTGTAAAATAATCGATTTCCTGCTAAGCTGAGAATTCGCTCACTCGACTTTCTCAAACTATTTTCCCTTCCCTCACCGAGTCCAATGACAACTACGACGATCTGCTGCCCGTTTGGGCCATGAATCATGCCTGGCATCCGGTCCAGTGGCAATTGCAATAAGTTAACGCTGTGGACGACGCCGCCTACTTAATTATTAATTTCGCATTTACCACAAAACGATTATGGGGGCTAGAGAGCCCAGGGCTGGCTCCAGGTCGCCAGCCAGCTGTCTAAGCAATCTACGAGCGAGCGGGAGGGACTGCGTTTTACCATTTCCTCAATTGCATAAATCGAAAATTTGTGCTTTGGCGCGTGTCACGAATAACCAAAGGAAATGCCGATCCCAAGGTCCCTGCACTGGAAAAAGAACTCCTTCTCTAATTTTTGAGACAATGTGACAGACCCGGGCCAAGGATGGAGTTGTTGTTGTTGTTGTTGTTGTTGCTGGCGCAGTCTGTTTGTCACCCAAGTCATTTACATGCTCAACTCGCGTACGTGACTCACATATAGTTATAGTCTGATATATATATATGTATATATGTATGTATATACATACATATATTTGAAGCTTTTGGGGAATTTGACTGCGGCTGCGTCTTGGCTTACATTTGATGAAAATGCGAGCGTGGCGCTGTCAATGTGGATACGCCTGTCCACTGGGAGTCATTGTCGTCGTCGTTGTCTCTCTCTCTCTCTCTCTCTCTCTCTCTCTCTCTCTCTCTGTCTCTTTCTCTGTCTTTGTCGTCGTCTGGCCTCAAGTGAGTCACGCAGCGCATCGATAAAATATTTAAAATTCATTTCTAAGCTTTTAGTAGTCAACGACTCAACTGCTTCACTTCAGTCCACACGCTCCACACTCAGTGCCCCACTCTCCACTCGCTTATCAGTGCTGGGGCCCAGCCTATTACTCAGCTGGGTCTCTCGGCAATTGCCGAGATAAACGTAAGCCAAAAACTGCAAATGTCGACGACGACAGCTCGGCCCAACTGCAGCTCCTTTGCTTTGCTTTGCTGCTATCTTTCGAGTGTGCATTGATTTATGTGCGTGCAGTCAGCGTCGTCGTTGGCTCTGCCTCTGTAGCTAGCTGGCTGAAGGTAAATAGCAATACTCGCATCGTGCCATCGTTCACCTGGGCCGACTCCCTCGCCCCACCCTCTCCAACCGCAATTCACAGTTGCAATTGCACTTTATTAGTTTTGCTATTGAATTTCATTTTATTGCATTTCCCCATACGCATTCCATATATCTATCAATAAGCCTCAGTCTCTCTCTCTCTCTCTCTCTCTCACTCG